CGTTTTATAAAGTGTAGGAAGTTCAGTGGCTGAACTCTTGGTTTAACCATTTTTAAATATGAGATGTTATAAACCCCAATCCCCATATGTTTTCTGGAAAATTTTCCAGTTTCCCTCTCCCGTCAACCCCTCTTTGAACTCCGATCTACTCGCTATCCGACCTTCAAACGACGAGCCGAAACCACCATCGTGTTCGTTGTCAATCGAGGAACAAAACCCATCAAACCTTTTGTCGTGAATCATCGCCGTTCGTCGTGAATTTCAGTCGGAAGTATCGTCGGTAATAACTCGGTTTTAGTTGGTTTTTCATCGATTCACGACGATCGGGTCATCCGTTTACGACACCTCCCGCACCATCGTGTTCGTTGCATCAGTCCGAGTTTGCCAGTGTCATCCTTGGTCTCCGTCGACGGCGGCGCGTGAGGAGGTGAACCGGTCAAAGTTTTCGATTTGTTGAAATCGAGCTCTCCGCCGTTTAAAATTGTAAACCGAGCTTTGTAAGTATCTCGAAATCGCTCAAAATAATTTTTAGAAATTTTTCCGGGATTTTAGCACTGTTCACGCGCCTCCACTGCGCGTGGGGAAGAAAAAAATGACCGGTTTGATCGGTTTTGGTGCATAGTTGACCGGTTTGACCGGTCACAACCCGACCCGACCCGTTGATCCGACCCGACCTATTTACCCGACACGAACCGTTGACCGTTGACCGGCGTTGACCACTGTTGACCAAAAAATTGAATGGCTTTGACCGGGCATTAAACGACCTTTGACTTCGACCGAGTATACTTATCCTGACATTTTTCGACGTTCCAAATCCGATTCCGCTGTCCATTTTTCGAAATTCGAACCCGAAGGCCTCGAAATTGCCGGTCAAACCCGTTGACTTTGATTTTGACCGAAAATTTCAAATTTCTGAAAAGTCATATTTTATGCTTTCGACGTCCTGAATCCGAATCCGAAGTCCGTTCCAAATTCGAACCCGGTAAGCCGTCTTTCACTGATTTATCACCCGATTCGATCTGTTTATCGTAATTAAGCTTCGTTTCTGATATAATTTATGTTGATATGTATCTGAGGAATTATTGGAAGTTGAATTGAAGATCAAAGGCATTCGAATGGAACTTTTATGGTCGATTAGTATTGCACGAAAATCGAGGTAATACTTTACTACCTCTTTATGCTTAATAGAACATGTTGGTATTGGTAAATGAATGAATGGAAATGTTTGGTCTCATATGTGTAATTAATGAAGATCTACACTAGATATGAATACGGTATAAAGTAGATAATTGAATATGGCTCAGATGACTATTATAAGAAATTGGAGGACAGTTGGAATTAAATTACAAGTTCTGGAATTAAGTGATAAAAGAATCAACCATGGATTGTAGATTATAATTTATCTCATTAAAGGTACTTAGATGATAAATTATGAGAATATTTCGATTAGGTAAAATTATGAAATTACCCTTATGTTGGAAAATGACAAGAATTGTCTCTGGAAGTGGATTAATAAATCTAAAAAGAATTATTGATCTGCTAAAACTATTGATGTGCATAAGAAATGTTATTTTTACTTGGAAATTATGGATAACCGGTTTTTAACCCCAAGAAGGTTTATGCTAGATACTAAAAGTCTTTTAAGGAATCATTTCATGATCAAAGAATGTTCGAGGAAGCAATTAATCATAGAATCTCTATATTATATTATTTTCGTTAGGAGCTAATATCGAAATTATCTGGTTAAGAAATTATGAAAATACCCTTGAGAGATAAAATAGTCTAAATTGACCCTGAATGAAAAAATACTTTGAGGATTTGTACGTAACTCGATTAAATACGAATTTAATTGTTAAGGTCCTGTCTTTATACAGAAAAATTCATGATATTCCGTTTGTAAGATATGAGAAGACACTTGATCCGAAAATATTCGAATAATGAGTAAATACTTGAAGAGTAATTTATCGGGGGTATTCTGCTGTCAGAATTGTTTGAAAGGACTGAAGTAAATGATAATATTGAATTAATTAATAAGACCGGATGACAGGAAAAGATTGAGATACCGTAGATCTGTAAAATGACCAAAATACCCCTGTAATAGAAATGACCCAAGAATATCACCAAGCTTAGGAATGATTGAATATCCTCGAGCTCTGAAATAAATAAAATAAAACTGGACATCAAGATTACCAAAAGTAATGGAACATAATTTAAGTGAGTAGATCAACCCTAAAGCTATGTCAATACCTGAATTGTATAGATATTACTGGAATGCGTGTTCGTCTTCTTAAGTTTGGCTCGATGATAATTTTGGAAGTATTCAACTCAACTCTAGATCGCATTCAGTACTAAGAATTGGACGTTTATTCGACAAATCAACCATGAAGACCAAATCGAATGGAATGAAAGTACAACATGTATCTAAAATTCAGTAACGTCTAAATTACTCTGAAAACCCCCGAAGTAACTGGAATGGATTTGACTGCTAAATAAGCTAAGTAACCTCAATGATTGAGGATTAAGTAAGTGAATTGGATAAGTCTGGAAATTCTGATGAGTTTATAAGATGTATTGTCCTTATTGAACATGAGCTACAAATCAAGCCCGTCAGTATTTCATGATATCGTGGAAGCTTGGAAATGAAATAAAGATCATTGGAAGATCTATTCAGCGATGATTCTGAAGGTGATCTATGAACAAGAATTTGTGGTATTAAAAAGTAAATACCCTGGAAGGGAAATGAATTAATCAGTGGATATAAATTGTTAAGGTTCTGAATCTTCGTTATCAAGTTGTTCGATTATCCGATCAATTGACATGGATGCAAAGGATTTTGAATACCTTTATGATTACGTACAACTTCTGAAAACTGTTCGAATAAGATATGATCCTGATAATTCACATTCTGAATAACTGATGATTCTGTCAGTTAATGAACTCTTCCAATAGTGATTCTAAATTCCAACATTCTATCGACATACTGAAGAACTGTGTTTCTCTGCCTGATACAGTACCTCTAAATAATACCTGTAAACTCTGGTGTGTTCCCTAATCATATAAATATTTTATCTGATTTCTGACTTGAATTCTGTTATGATACATTACATGAATTCTGTTCTGATTTCTGATCTGGATTCTGTTCTGATATCTGATATGAATTCTGTTTTGATTTCTGATATCTCCGTTTACCGACGGAGAAATGTTTTATCTGGGGGGTTTATTGTTGGAGGAAGATTATCTGCAGACTCCTCGGCTTTGTGCTCAGGGTCTAAATGGCATGTGCGGTTGGGTGTATGGTTCTGGGGAACCTACACATTTATGATGTGAACGGATGGGGGTATATATATATATATATATGTTTTAAAAAGATCTGAAAAGTTACATGGTTTTTGGGAACACACTAGAAAACCTATTCTGATCTCCTGAACTCAGTCATCCAAAATATTTCTCTGAACTGAAAACTCATTGTTCGTTACCACCTGAAATATCAGTAGGATCTTTGCTCAGCATAAAAATATGTAAATGTTCGGAAACAATAAGGAAATAAATATTTATCTGTATCTGCACGTTCATCAGCATCATCTGGTAGTTCTGTATTACTGAGCTTTCCAAAGCTCACTCTATTACTCACCTTTTCAGGTTAAAAGAATTGTACCAGTGCATCTATCGACTTCAGTAAGGGAGTTCTTCCGGCGTTGTTGCAGAGTATGGTACATGTGATTAGGGGGCATGTAATTGTATTTTGATTTATATACGTGTTTGGAAATCTGTTTTATTTTTAAATAGTGAAAACTGATTTTATAAGTTTATATGTTCTGATAAAAAGTTTTAAATTTTCCGCTATTTTTACAGTGGGTCGCTCCGGTGGCCCTAATGTGACTTCCCGGATCGGATCGGGCTACCCTTATCGGTCTGTGAGGGTTACAGAAACTGATCGGCTGCTCAGAAAATCATACCAATCTTGGAGTGGTGGTTGATTGATTTGTCTTAAGATTTCTTAGGTTAATGCTTTCTTTATTGTAGTGAACAATGATGAGCGACGTTATATTTCAGTTGAATGTTTATAAATTTTGATTTATATATTTTGTAATTTTACTTAAGTGGAAGTAATTATATTTCAAAGTTGTTATTCGATATTGTTACAGGTTGAATATTGGTAATAAAAAGAAGAAGAAAAATAGAAAATCAGTTATGATTAGCGGCGTTTGCATCATAAACGCCGCTATAGAACCTGCCTGTTGCGACTTTTGTATAAAAACACCACTATAAAACTTGATCTGTTACGACGTTTGTGAAAGTAAAACACCGCTAACTTTTACGTTGCCAGTTTAGCCGACGTTTTTTGTGTTTTTTTTGCGTCAGGAATATTTTCAGCAGCGCTTTAAAACGCCACTATAGACCTATTTTTGCTGAATACAAATATAATTTTAATCTACGTCCTTTTCTATACTCATTTTAGTTTTATTCAAGTACTATTATGTATAGATGTAAGTCCAAAGAGTTGAAGCATGTCTTTTATAAATAAAATTAATTTTATCGACTGATTCTTTTTTTATATTTTTTTTCGTTCACGAATTCTTAACAATTGGATTTCTTCATACGTAAATTTTGTGGTGGCTTCACATGAATACAAAATTATATACATAAATGGTGATGGTGATTGAGGAGGAGGAAGAAGAAGATAGGATTGACGTCCATAAGCTCAAACAAGTGGACTGAAAAGGAAACGTAGGACTTTCGAAAATCCCAAGTTTGATAACACGTGAAAACAAAGCTACAATTATATGTCCGTAAAATCTATTAAAAATATATTTTCAATTTTAAAATTTTATAAATTCATCCCTCCTAAAATTTTAAAAAGGTTATTTATAAACATAAAATCTTAGGTCCTTCAAATTGCATGCTAGGGACCATAACAGTTGGTGCTTATTATTGTATTTTGTTATTTTTTTATTCTCAAACCTTTTCAATCAAATATATAAAAGGATTATTTTTAAACTTAAAATCTTAGGTCCGTCATTGATTACGTTTGTCAAACTCGTCTCATTCTTCCTCAAAAAATTCATTTGGATGAACCTGCAAAATACATACAATTACGCATGAAAATAACTATATTAAGAGAATTCTTCAAGGTTATTTCTTATTATTCGTATGTCCAACACAAATACTTCCAGAAAAACGAAGAATAGAACAAAAATAATTATAACTACAATACCTGGCCTTTCCTTTCCTCTCCGAAGCTAACGGTTCGGACCTTTAACTCGCCTCTGCTTGTTGTCAACTCGTCTAACAACTCAGCATCAAATCTTTCAGCTCCATCGTCTTCGTTCTCAACACAAGATGTGTCCATGTCCTAAAAATTAAAATTATTACTGTTAATATAGTTTTAACGACTCCGCAAACAGAGAAGGACCGAGCGGAAATACCCTCGAAGAGAGGCCAAGGGATGATCTTGGGACGGCTCCGGTCATTTCCTCGTATTCGGCCGCATCGAGTTCCCGGAGATAATTCGGGAGGATGATCTTCGGGAGAAGGTATTGTCTTATGATGATGAGAAGGAACAAGGGCAAAGGGAACAAGATTCCAACTATGGGAATCCACGTCACACCAAAGCATACCAGAAGATATACGAGCTGGAAGAGTGTAAACGTCGCGATATATCGGTATGGTACCGACTCCACGAACGAAGCATGAACAACTTCCAACACCCTGCAAACTTGATCATTGAATCACATTAGAAACTAGCAGCATTGCCTAGTAGTACGTTTACTGCAAAATGACCACAAAATGAGTCCGCTCTTGTTTTCGAAAATTTTGGATTTTCATACTTGAATCGCCTGTTTGGTGTAATGAAGAGAAGTAGCATCCTTTCCCAGAACTGATTTCCCGGAAGACTATCAATGGCCATGTATGCGAAATATCCCCAAAGAACCGATGTAGGTATCAATTTGATTGCAGGCATAGCACATACTGATGCAGCTACTAACAGTGACTGCAACAGATTGCTCACTCTCTGCTCGTTGACTCGAACCGGCAAGTACGCATCGATATGCTTTTCGGGATCAAATTTTCCTTCTGGATTTCTCCTTCGTTTTCGCCTTTCATAACAACCTTCTTCAAGTCTTCCAGCTCCTTAACTACTGCAGTCTGCAACAGCAATAGTTAAGGTCAGATGCAGGCATTATACAAGATTTATCGATATATATTCGGAGAATATGGACCGGCTATTCGAGGTTCAGTAGCATGTTTCAAGACAAGGATCACTTTGTTGTAGAAACAATCACTAATCAGAGAACTTACTTCCGGACTCTTGTCCATATCGATGAAGACCGCCTGCAACTTGCCGTATATCTCGGAGTTGCTAGCCTTCTGCTTTATGCTTTCTTTCGCACTCGCCACCATTTTTCGTCTGATCAGCTGCATTTCATACATCAGTTGAAATTAAGCATGTAACCGTGTGCATAATTCTTTGTAGAAACTTTCATTTAGGATATACTTATCCACCTGTCCTTTGAGAATTGCAAGGCTCTTGGTATGCATAGGAGACTGCGGTAGGACGCCATTCGAAGGAGGGAGACCGATTAATCTGCAAAGTAAAGTCTGCAAGCATGTTCTCGACAGTAAAACATTAAGTATACGATAAGATTGTTTGTTTTTCGGCTGGCAAGTAGTGATTGATCTTGAGGTTTACCATGAATCCGAGTAGCAGGATGTCATAATGATACGCAGATGGATTCTTGAGATTGAATTCCTTTTGTTGTGCCAGCTGCGACGCAACGCTGTGGTCGAAAAAGTAGAGTCCCGCGACCATCACAGCTGGAATGAATGCAGCAAAGATATACAATGAAGGGATCCTTCCCATATCCTGCAATTTGATTGATTGTTTATTAACAGAGGGCCAATTTTATCACTACAAAAGCTTCAGAGATCGATTATCGATGTGAAGGCCAACAACATATATGAAACCGAATATGATTACCTTAATTACAGTCCAATGTCCCAACGATGCAGAGTCCCCTGGAAGAGGAATAAAGAGCCTTCTTGGAACCCCAGATGGAACTTTGCTTGGTACACTAAAAGACGTTGCTGTCCACACTACAACCATTAAAGGGACCCCATAGTCTGCAATGAAGCTTCTAAACCACCCTGTGCCATACCACCATGACCTCGCCCTTTGGCTTTTCAAGGCGGTATAGAGAAGGCCGAACGAGAATACGATTCCCAACAGTCCATTTGTGTAAAGCCATTGAAACTGATACTTCCCTAACTTAGAATCTTGATCTTCGGGAACTTGAAACTCACTCAGCAATCCCTGCAAATTGAATCATCAGTAGGTGTTTCAAACATTATATAGAAGATGATTCGTTTTCTTTGATTGGATTTCACCTTGATGGCCTCCTGAATAAACAGAACACTAATCAACATGCCAAAAAGCTCGCCCGCAACCCTTGTGAACCGATTAATTATCATGCAAGCATTGAACGTTGCAAGGAGAAACAACAAGAGAGCAATCCAAACACAAACCCTGCAAAAATATTTATGAACTTGTAAGATCATATCAAGTACTTAAGCAAAACTTTTCGATTTAAACCGAAAAAATGGAGGATTCTGTTTACCATCCAGTCCAAGCCAAGTATAATTCTTGCCCCAAGTCTTCTCTTCCTTTGGCAAAGTTGTACAAATATGTATACATAATAACTGTTGGCTCTGCAACTCCAAGAATCAAAAGAGGTTGACCACCGAATATCGAGTGTAGAACACAACACCGCAAAGGGCGGTTGACACCAACGTTTTGACTGTGCTTAGGCTCCCATCTACATCCAAAAGCATGTCAAACATCACTTTTAACTTCATCAAACAAAAACTGTTTGATGAGTGGAACAGAAACAAACCTGTATCTCGATTCAGTTGCTCGCCGAAGGCAATAACCGGCAGAGCAGAAGCAAAGAAGATGTAGGCAGTTGGGGCTAGTATCCTGCAACAAGAAAGCAAACATCTAACCAAAAATAAGCAAAATTTACTTCAAGTAGGACTATTATCAAATGTTTAGGGAAGGTATACCCTAATCCTGAACGAATACCAGAAATCCAGTCTTGTTTGTAACAAGCTGCTCTTCCTTTGACATCACTTGCAATACCCTTGAAAGGAGCTTTCAAGTTTTCCATTTCTGGGGCAGAGAAAGGTTTAGAAACTGAAAAATACATGTTCAAGATGATAGATGCATATATGTGTATGTATGCAGCTATGCATGAATGGCATCAAAGATCAAAACTTGATTTTCCCTTCATCATTTTCCTATTAACCAAACACAGCATTTGTATCCTAACTTGTTTGGTTTCAGTTAAATTACGTTCACATATGTAAAAGCACATACACATTTCAAGCACATAACAAGAACAAATACATGAAAAACGTTCAGATTGGTCATAGATGCCAAGGAATTTGGAGAGTTACCAAGAAACAGAAAACAGCTGGAAGGAAAAAAAAAAAAACAAAGGCAACTCCGAAAAAGCTTAAAGCTTATACTATGGAATTAATGTGACTATATCTGCAGTCCATGCACGTCTTTTAAAATAAGAGTATAGACAGTGACAGATATAAAAAAAATTAGGGTGCGTATATTAATTAAAGAAAACTTTTATATTGAAGATGTATAAATAAAATATCATGACAGTCACCATCAGTAAAATAGACTAATTAACATAAAATTAGATTGGTCAAACTTTTATAAAATATTAATTTTGCATTTTAAATAATATTAAAAAACTTAGTGTAAATTTATATATTTATATCGTCAAAAAATTATTTATTTGAGTTTGTAAAATAATATTTGGAAATAATTATATCAAATTGGTCTCGACTCAAAGTAATTCAATTAAATCTTCGATATTTAGAAATACTTCAATTTGGTCCGACATAAAATCCCAAAATCTCTCTTCTAAATCGTAATCGTCGTCTTCGCTTGTTTACTTAGCCGTCGTTGTTGCCTCTCCATGTTGGTTGCACACCTTTCGTCAACCCCTTATAGCGTCGTTCAGGCCTTACAACCGGGCACTGGACTCGGTCACACCCCGCGTGAGTTATTGGGTTAATTTTGAAAACTATATTTTGACGAATGGTTGGAAGCTAAAGCTAGCAGACGTCAACGACTGTGAGAGCAACAGATAGGGAGAGAGAAAATTGATTGAAGCGATGAAAAAGGTGGTGTCTGAAGAGTGTGTGATTTGCATAAGAGTGGTGATGATGGTGGATGGGTGGAGACATTGTTGCGATGACGACAGTGAGCAAATCTACGATGGAATTCATGGAGAATCGTTGGATAAGTGGTGGTGTTGTGATATCGTAAGGGAGTGATTGTGGAATTTAGGGTGAATGAAAAGCGAAGAAAAGGTCAAATGGCTAAGGAAAAATGAATGGTGACGTGAAGATGACGGTGGGGGTTATGGAGTATGCATAGATGATCGACGAAGATGAAATTGAAATAAAAAGAGAAATTCACACAATACGTCCTTAAATTTTGACAGTTTTGAAAGCATGCCATTAAATTACTAATAAATTATTTCAAATTAAAATGAGAATCAAATTGTTATAATTTTTAAATATAGAGATTGTTTTTAATTATTTCTAATTAAGATTAATTTAATAGAAAATTTAAGTTTTGGGGACCAAAGCTATTATTAGAGCTATTATTAGACTAATGCCACATCATTGGTTCAGTTAAATCAATTATCAACGGTCACACTTAATGATAGACGACAAAAACAGAAACTAAATATAACTTTAGTTATGGTTTTAGGGGGAAAATAGTTAGATCACCAAAATTGAAACGTGAGAATAAGTGGGTGACTAATTATCTAGTTTACCCCTTTATAAATCAAATAATAATATTATAAGTTATTTATCCCAAAATTTATAAAAAAAATTATAATAAAATGATAACGATGTTGAATATTTAAAAGATAAACAACTAAAAAAGTTAAACACTTTAGCGGAATATACTTCCATACTCAACTCGACGACTCTTGTGATTGATGTGATTAAAATAAGAAATAAACAAGCTTTCATTCATACCAACTTAAAATATAATAATAAAATCTAAATAAAATAAACTATATGTCTATATATTTTTAATATTTTCACATTTAAAAGTTAAATTTTTTATTATATCAAAAATTAAATTAAATTTGATCCATAAACAAAAATAAATATCTTGTAATATTGACTTTTAATTTATATAATTAAATTTCAAATTAATTTTTATATACAATTCAAATTCTAACTGATTGTAATAAACTAATATACATTTAAAAAAATTGCATGCGCACGAGTTAAGCGATCTAAGTGATTAGGGAATTTATTATTTTTTCTAGAGATTTCAGATTCAAACACCGACAAAAATATAAACATTTATTATCAATTAATTAAAAATATTTAAATAAATATTATTTTATATTCACATTAAATTTATATATAAACATGTACATGTTCCTAGTATTTTCTATTTCCATGGCAATTTTGGTTGGAGTTTTGTACAATTCAATAATGATTAGCGTACCAACAATCAGTTAGTCTAGTGGGATGAGACATTAGGTTCTATAAGCAATGTCAGAGGTTCGAATCTTGACATTTGTGAATGGTTCAAATTGGGTTAGAAGGGTTGCCCTCACCTCTGCAATACTCAATATGAATTATTCGATCAATAGATCGGATACAAGTAATTAATTAAAAAAAACAATGATTAGCGTAACAAACAAGGATTCCGTACCAAAAATCTTTTTTGTCAATAAAATTATATATAATTGGTTTAATTAGAAAATGATTTAATGATATGACTTTCGGTAAAAGTTGAAAATTCGTACAAAAATAAAATTTTCTAATTTTAAGATATTATAAGAAATTTATTAAGATAAAAAAACTCTAGCAACTTTCTTCTTTTTTTTCTCTATTTTTTTTTGTAATTTGTGTCAATTTTATTGATTAATTTAATTTTTTTTAAAAAAAATTAACCGACAACGTTTGATGTTGATTGCCACTCGTTGGTTATTTTTTTTTAACTTTTAATAAGGATAATTATGTCTTTGTGACATGTTATCTGTCTTAATAGTACGTTTATCTCTGCCTTTGTGGCATATTTTTCTATATTTTTGATAGCTTATGATTTTTTGTTGTTGTTTTCATTTATCTTTTTTTAGGGTTGGATTTGACATCGTCACGACATATCAATATGACGCTTATTTGTTATCATGATGATCTTCTCTCATTTTTGCGTTCGTGTATTATTTTTTTCACGTCGCTTGACTCTGATTTGCGATTTGTCAATAAAATTTGGTAGTTTCATATCCTTTTGTGATTCGTTTGTTGATACAGTAAGATTTGTTCGTATTTTTATTTTGTTCGAGTTTTTTTTGTTAGGTTTTTAACATTTTCCTTATTTGATTCTTGTGTGGTCTAGGTGACTAGTTTTTGTGTCAATGGTTATATGAAAATATCCTAATTATAATTTTGTTTACGTTATACTGAAAAATCTTCATTATAATTCTGAATATTTTTTATTTTTAATAAAATTAACGGCTTTCTATCAAAAAATTATTAAGAAACAAATTAAATTTTTATTTATCTGTATAAAATTTAAATAAGTGTTTTGGTAATTAAGATAAATATTGAAATAATTCTTTCGAAAACAAAATATAATAACAAGAGTATAAAAATCTTTCTAGTTTAAAGGGTTAACTACATTGATTATCCCTTCTCTTTTCTGCCTGTCTTATTTTGTTCATTGGTTTTGAGGGGGAAAAACTTTTTAGTTCGTTTTATTTTTTTATGTCTTATTTTAATCCTTGAATTGTTAAATATCATTGATTTGTTACTTGTAACGTTAGTAAAAATGGTTAAATTTTAATGTGACCCCTAAACTTTAGACAACAAACTATTTTGACTATAAACTTTACATAAAATACTAATTTAACACCTAAACTTCATATCAATTATCATTTTGATCCCTGAATCCAATCAAAGTTCTCGTCATTCGATGTAACTCATTTTCATTGTTGGTCACTATCAGATATCATCACCTATCTTCAGAAATTCTAGTTCACTCCTTTTTAACCTCCTGAACGCGAATCCAATGTCTATTTCATTGAAAATTTTCATGAACTCCACATAGTCTAAAATCCTTTTAATTGCTTTAAAAATAAATCATAAGAATAAATTTATCATTATATTGCTTTAAAGACAAGGACATAAAAAACTTAAATCTATATCATAATACATTTATATTATAATGATAATAATTTAATTCATATAAATTTTGATAATAATTTATATTACATGTAATTATATTATAAGATGCTTCAAGCGTAAATTTTTGTTTTCAGGTATAAATTTTGTAATTAAACAAATCTTTAAGAGAAGTTTATTAATGAATTTATTATACTAAAAAAATAAAAGTCATCTATTATATTTAATTAAATTACTTTAAAACTATTTTAATTTTGATTAAAAGTAGTATATATTTTTATTTTAGAAAAAATTAGTATGAAGGTAGCATAACGAAACTCATTAATGTGACAAACTGATGTACACCGCTAATTAAACCGTCTTTATTAAATAAATATGAAAAATTATAATAATCTATTCACAATTAATCCTTTATTAAAATTTAATTTTAATTCTAGTAGAAATATAATTAAATCATGATTTTTATTAAAAATTAATATTAATTTAAGAATTTTATTTGTTTAAAATTAAAATTGTTAACCTTTACAATTTTAGGTTCGTCACAGATTAGCCCAACAACTATCAACAACCGACTGACTGTCGGTGAGCAACGTTCATTGCCAGAAAACTATTTTCTTGAACAAAATCATTACCGTTGAAAAGTTATATCAAAAGGAAATCGATTTTTCTTTTCACCAAACTCCGCCCATCTCGGCATCGCCCCGCAACGGATTGTCATATACCCCTACCGTTTCCATTTGCATCACGTGCCATTGGTCATTTTGAACCTCCATAGACCGTTTGAGAACCATCTGAGATCGCGGCCCGTCCCATCCATACTGACCAAAACCATCGATGCTCATTGGTCCCCAATCTCCACGTTTGATTGGCCAAATTGCATGCTAATCCCTTACTTTTGTTTTAATTTGAAGCCCAAATTGCAAGCAAACACCCATACTTTTTCAAAACCATAACAAAAAATCGGGTTAAACACGATCAGAGAGAAAAATATAGATAGGCTTACACGTAGAGATTTGGGACTAGCGAGCACCGGTAATCGTGGTCGATTTGGTTGGGATAAGTGACGATCGCGAATGGTTGACAATTTTTGCACTTTAAAAACAAAGAAAAACAATAGACGACGTGTAATGCAAATGAAAACGATAGGGGTATGTCACGGTTAGTTGTAGGGCGACACGAGTTAGGTGTATTGAAGTATTAGCTATGAGCTGGCAAGACTATGGTTGTGGCTAACTGTAACATCATAAACTCAAGTGGTCCTAAAGTGTCACACTGGGCTAC